CTGACGACTTCGAAAAACTTTATGACGATCTTGGAAGAAACTTCATCGTTGCAGGTGACTGGAATGATAATCATCGCCTTTGGGGGTCTCAAAACTCAACCACACGCTGAAGGGCACTTGCCGACATAATTCAAAAGGCCAATGTCTAGGTCCGTGCAACTGGAGGGCCTACGCAATATTCTCATAGCCAAAGATCTCCAACAGCCATTGACTTTGCTGTCTACAGAGGGATACGACCTGAGTGCCTCTTTATCTCAGAAAGCTCAGAAGTTCTAATCACATTCCATTGATAATTAAATTAGGAGTTGCTGCGCAGAAAATTTGACATGGGCCTCGCATCCTGCCTCGAAATACGAACCTTCCAAGCTTCCAAGCTACAGTTAACCGGCTTGTTAACCTCAACATGCTGTTAAACTCTCCGTACGATATCAACGACGCTGTCGAGATATTTATACGAAATATTCATACCGCTGCCGAGGCCTCAACCTGTGGACAAGTACCGAACTCATCTAACCCACCTCACGCTCTTTTAAAACCTGAGGTTATGGATCTAGTAAGATTGAAGAGATCCCTTCGGCGCAGATATATGAGATCCCAAGACCCATTCGACAAAGCTGCATATCGACGCTCCGAAAACGATCTCAAAAAGCTTCTGTATTAAACAAAGAGCGAATATTTTGATGAGATGCTCCTCAACGCTGACCCCACCAAATCGAACGGCTTTAACCTCTGGAAATGTACCCGGAATATTAAGCGACAGCCCATCCGAAAGATCCCCATTAAGAAATCTGACGATACATGGTGCAGGTCTGATGCAGAGATTTCACTAGCTTTTGCGGATGAACTAGAGAAGCGCTTCCAGCCTTTCGACCTCGCGAACCCCGAGGGTGTTGAAGAAACATTAGCCTTCATAAATGCCCCCTCCCCTGAAGCGGTTCCGATCCAACATGTAAGCCCAGAAGAAGTTTGTCTTCATATTCGAAAGCTACATCCCAGTAAAGCGCCGGGATTCGATGGCATTGACAGCAGAATTGCCAAGACTTTGCCTAAAAAGGGAATCTTGTTCCTTGTTCTCCTTTTTAACTTCATGCTTCGTATCCACCACTTCCCCTCTCGATGGAAGTGTGCTGTGATAATGATACCAAAGCCAAAAAAAACCGAAGAATCTTATTGAATAATACCTACCGATAATCTTACTAAACTTACTTTCTCTAAAATATTCGAGAGAATATTCCTTAGTAGAATAATGGGAGTAAGAAGCGTCCAGGTAGCCATTCCCGACCACCAGAGCAACCACATTGAGTCGTCGAGCACATTTTAAATACTTTCGGAAACAAGTAATACAGCTTTGCTATTTTTTTGATGTCAAGGAAGCTTTTGACCGCGTGTAGCATGATGGCTTACTTTATAAGTTGAAGTCCCTACACCCGACTATCCAATTCCTGCTATTAAATTCATACATGCAAGATGGTAGTTTTATGGTCGAGGTGAGAGGGGAAAGATCAAGCATTCGTATTGTTCATGCTGGCGTTCCGCAGGGAAGCGTCCTGGGCCCGGTACTGTACAACCTGTTCATTTCAGACCTACCATGTCCTATTGAACCGGGCACACTTCTGGCCACCCATGCTGACGACACTGCATTCCTTGTTAACTCCTCCTGTCGAAATAAAGCTTCAAGGATCGCCCAGGAACTTCTGGACTCATACGGCAAGTGGACCAATAGGTGGAATATTTCTATAAATAATAGAAAGTCGAAGCACTGCAACTTCGCCCTTAATGGAAAGATCCTACCAAGGGTTGATCTCCATGACATCGCCATCCAACAAGCACCCCAGCCGCAGTACTTCGCAGTACTGATCCTGGACAAGCGGCTCACCTAGAAGCAGCACCCAACGAAGGTAGCAGCTTCCTGTCGTGCTAAGCTTAAAAAGCTCAACTGGTTGCTTAGACCAACGAGCAAGCTAAGCCTTGGCAACAAAATGTTGCTGTTTAAGTCAATTGTTGTGCCTTCAATGAATTACTGCATCCAATTGTGGGGCATGGCTTGTGACTCCAACGTCATGAAGGTCCAAAGAGTCCAACCGAGCGCTGCGCATGATTGCTAATGGCCTTGGTACATAAGAAACAAAGTCTGGGCAAGTGACCCCCCCCACCACATTCCCTCTATCAGGGAGCAGATCAACCGGCACTCGAGTCGGTATAACGAACGTCTTACAGCTCACACCAACCGCGTAGCGGTTACATTGGCCAACACATCGATCAGAAAAAGGCTCAAACGAAGTCATCCCGCCAATCTCTGCACAAGAGGAAGACATATTTCTCGAGTCTTAAAGCAGTAACTAGTATTGTTCACTTGTCATTAAAAATTTGTTAATTTGTTCCATTTCTGTTATGTGCCATGTTATTTTTGATCATATTCATAACCAACGTTTTATAGCCATAAGTTGGTTGATCACAGAGAACGGCAAGGGTGCCTGTTTCGACAACTCTATTCACACTTGTCAAAATTTTGGTGCCGGTGTTTCTTACCACCGGCAAATAAAGTAAACGAGTCGCACACACATAAACTTGCTAAAGTATAACGAGTGGCATGTCTACCGAGCACCCGATTAAGTTTTCACCGAGTGTTTTTATGAATTTTACACCCGGTACTTTTCGTTGGTCGGTGCCGGTGGCACTCACACACATAACTAAACGAGCGAGTGGGTAAAGCACACAAAAAATACTCGGGTGTTTTGAAGTCACCCGAGTAGTTTTTGTGTGCTTTACCCACTCGTTTGTTAAGCATTCATTTTTTTACTTTGTGTTCACTTTGTGTTTTAAGAACAGAACAAATGAAAAAGAAGAATAAATGAAATAAAAAATGTAATGAAATTAGATTAATTAAGAACTAAAATATTAAATTGAAGCTGAAAGGGAATATATGTAGACTGAACTATGTACCATATGTATGTTGTTATTTTTGGTTAATCAAAAGAACAAGAAATCAGGAAATGTATGTATTTACTTTAATGTATTTTGGTTGTACCAAGTTGCAAAAGGAATCACAAAAATTAACGAGAGCATCTAGTCACCGGGTGTTGTTTTTGACTCAAGTATTGTGTTCTCGCTTTTACTCACTTCTCTTTCGAGCATTTCTCGCTCAACTTCAACACACACACCGAATCAAAATAAGACTCGTAGACGAACTACGCTTGTGTGCACAAATATACGAGAATTATTGTCGAGTGTTTACTCACACCCTATTCTCGTTGCCGAAAAATAACTCGGGTGTCAAAAATACTCGGTGTTTATCCGGTGGTCCGGTTGATCCGGTGGTTTGCTGCCGCTCTCTGGTTGATCAACGTTAATAAAATTTTTTAATGCTATGCAAAAAAAAAAAAAACAAAAAGTTGGTTGATTAACGTATAAATAAATATGGACGTATACAAAAATCGAAGCGATCTAATCTGGGAACTGCTGGCTGTGAAACGCAATAAACTCCCTGGGACTGAAGCGTTTCTCTTTTTCCTCTTGCCAGTGGAAATTCCCCAGCTAGGCCGCCAGTCGCTAGTCGCCCTTTTTTTTTTTATTAATTGCCCAGGAAAATCTTTGTTTAGATGTGGCACACTTGATGAACAGTTATAATCGGATGTCGGACGCAGATGCAGCTCTCTGGGAACACGAGTTTAACATTTCCGAAAAATCCCAACTATTTTACACAGAAGGACTGAGTGGGAAGTCAGTATAAGTAGTGTTTTTATTGTATGCTCCGACTCACATGACGTGGTCAGAAGCAAGGAAAGGAGTTTTTTATACACATATTTATTTATTAATTTGATGTTTATGTCGTATGCCTTTGGCCAAGCGACTATCAGAGCTCTAACAGCAGTCAAAATAAAATCAGAATTAAAGGCAAAGTACAACAGAGCCCTAAATTAGATTGTCAGATACAACGACGTGAAAACAACCTGAGGGACAGGGCAGAACGACATCCAAGAAAATGAGAAAGCAACTGAACAGCAACATAAGAAGGATACCAATACCGCAAAACGCTGTCCAGTCAATAATCCAAGTAAGCGGTAGAGGGCTGACCGCCCGACCATTCCCCCGTACATCCGCCGGGCACGCCGAGTGCAAGAAAGCAGACTTCAGCACGGCGACATCTGCCAGGCATGATGATCGCTCACCGTGCAACTGGAGCACGGTGAGAACTACAAGGTTTGCAGAACTGCAGCGCTGCCGACGCCGACGTCAACGGGACGGCCACCTACCGAGGGCTGGAGGCCGAACAGCGACGATTGGTTAGGCAGAAGCAATTCGACAGCCGAATTACTTGGATTACATATTTGAATATTAAGAGAATTAATTGAATAAAATAAGAATTGTAGTGTTTAACCCTGACTCGTCCCTGGCGAGGATCCTCTCCTCATGTCCTTCGGAAGGACTTAACTTCCATGACTATTTAAAAAATAAGGCCAATGGGAAATGGTGAAGGATTATCGGAATATGTTGGCCGAAGCTCTACAGAAAACATAGAAAAGAACTGATATCCCAAAGTATTAAGGATATTACTAGTAATACGGCAGTCTTCATTAGCGATAGTACCGCACTCAATGAAGATTGGGCTGCCCTATAATATCTGCCCTAGTAGTTGGAAGAAAACAGCGAAACGGGAGACGTCAGTGCACTTGCTATATCACTGTGTCCAGCAGTAAATAATATTAGAATGCGTCATTTCGGGGCTTACCAGTCATTGCAGCTATCCTTGCTTTAAATTGTACATGTGAATGTTATAAAAGTTACAATACATCGTTACTTTAAGGTAATGCTAGTCCATACAATTTACAAAAATCGATTTAAATTAAAGTGGCTCTGACATACATAGAATTATTAATTTGAGATGATTAACGAAGCTTTTAGTTTTATATAAAATTATTAACGAGGTTAAAAATATATATGTATATATGTATATGAACCATTCTTTTTGTGTATGGATATGTATGTATATGTATAAGTACCCAGAGTTCTTCCTCCCTAGCAAAGAATTTCGTCAAGTTTGGAGATATATCGCAACCAAGAAGACGAATAACCTTAATGTCCTTTAAAGCTGTTTTAAGTCGATCAGAAAAGTTTACTTTGAGTTCATTAGCATCATTTTTTTCAAGCAGCGTTAGGACAATATCCAGCTGAACCCCATGCCAGCATTCTCCAGTCCATTTATCTAATATGATCTTGGTGAAGTCATCGATTTCCTGAACCATTACATTAAAAATCTCGAGGACATTGGCTCCGCGTTCATTGTCAAATAGCCTGCAAATAAAAATGTATTATTATTTTTTTTTACTCTCCAAACTCTAAATTATATACATTTGTGGTCATAAAAAAATGTCTTTTTATGAGTTTTTCTCAATGTATTAATTCATTAAAAAGGAAAGTGCAATCGAAGAGAACTTAAAATAAATAAAAAATGAAAAGATAAATCAAATGGATTAAGGTAAACCTAATTAGAAAATGCATGGCGCCCCCGCGTGGACAGGAATAATTGTGTATTACACTTAATAATGAGATGTGCGTCTGCTTGGCTTGAGCTTCAGATGTTATCTACCCGTATATTCTCTTCGTCTTCTCTTACATTTTAGTTTAGTTATTAGTTTGTATGTTAATCATAAATGTTGTATGTATGTTAAATGAATAAGTGTGACCAAACATAATTAACTTATAACTGACAAATATCTAGCAATAATAAAAAAAGAAAAGGCAACAAATTTAAAAAGTGACAGTGTAACATAAACAAAATAAAAGTGCAAGCCCAAAAGGTTTTTTTTTTTTCTGTGCAAGAAAATTAATAATTTTTTCCCGCGACGCACTTCTTTGTGATTGTTATCAAAAAATTTTCGTGTCGGTTGCGAAATATCCTGTTCCTGAGCCACATTGCCGCCATCACCGAGAGATTTTCTCCAAAAGAAAAGTTGCTGCTCGAACAGTATATACAGTCACGGACAAAAGTGTACCTACGACCCCTTTTTTTTTGGGTTTTACCCACTCCTATAAATTTGACAAGAAAAGTAATGATGCAGTCTTGTTTTAAATGTTATTACTATACAACGACTAAAATTTCATTTGAATTCAACTTTAACTTTTAAAGTTATAAACAAAAAACGGAAAAACTACAGTGACAAAAGTGTCACTATGCACTTTTATGATATAATATTGATATAAGGAACAAGAGTTAATATTTTTTTGAGTTACCATAGACATCAATAACTGCTTATAGTTGTTTGGGCATCAAAGCCACCCACTTATCCTGCTTCCTCTTCCTTATTTTAGTCCACTTCTCTTGTAGCCTCTATTTAAGGATAGGAGCACTACTTATGGCGTGAATAGGGAATAGGAATTTAGGCCTTTATCGATATTTTTTGCGAAAAAATAAATATTTTTATCGTGATGTTTTTTTTATAATTATCATTAATCATTGGGCCTGGCAAAAATCCTCCATCTGAACTCTCCCCGAGGGTGCCGGCTGGGCAATGGGCACTATATTAGCCCGGACAGGGGTAATGCATTGCTGCTTGCCCCGTCCGCGATAATACAGTGTCTAGCTAAGGCCACGGTTCAACTCCTTCTGCCCTAAAAAGCCTAAGGAAGTGAGCCGTTAGCCATGGGAGGTGCCTGGCGGAAGGCATAAAACGCAAGTGGGTGGTACCTCTGAAAAAGATGGGATGTCAGCCCAAACGTCGGTGGAAGGCGTGACCGCTACGGGCACGGGGGGGAGCAATCCTCTCTGCGTGTCGCCAGCGGTTACACCTCTGATGTGACGGGAGCAGGTCATGTCAGTTGCAACGCTACTGCCGAAAAAACTACGCAGGGGAAGTTGAACCGCTCACGTGCCATAGTCGATACAGACTCGGACCTTGAGAGCGTGGAGCTTCTCCACTTACCAGGCACCAGCTCCCAGCACAGGGACGGGCCAAAGCGGTCAAGCGAGGGTATGAAGGCCAAAGCGCTGTACAAGGCTGCCCTCCGGGATCTGCCATCCAGGATCGGCTCCAGAAAAAAGCCGCCCTATCCCCAGAGGAGAAGGCAAAGCTTACCTGGGCTGAGGAGAAAATCGCTGAGGGGAGGCTTCACTTCGCCAAACTCCCCCATATTAGTTCGACTCGCGGATTCGCCAACAAGGTGGAGGAGACGCTTGCCAACAAAAGGCAACGCTCAACCGAAAGCGCCTCTATGGACGCACAGGGGAGCAAGCGGCAACGCGGGCCTAAGGAGGCAGGCCCTCCTCAAATGGCGAAAAAGCCTAAAAAAACCGCAAAAGTCAGTGAGGTGACCAAACCTGCGCCTCAAAAAGCGCCACCCCGGGGATAGGGTTGCTCACACCCTGAAGGCAGATGTGGTGGAGAAGGACCTAGGTCTGGAAACCATCGTGGATGCCGACCGGGAAATGACGCTGGATGAGTCCGACGAAGGAGAGGACGGTGACCTGACCGAAGTAGTCAACCCGTCGTATGGAGGTGAGGCCAGTACCCATGACACTCAGGGTGCTGCAGCTCAACCTCCATAAGAGCAAGGTCGCGTCGGCGGAACTCCTCATAGCCATGGAGCAAGGATCCGCCGACATAGCTTTGGTTCAGGAGCCATGGATCGCCTCAGGCAATGCCTTCGCCCTACTGAAGTCCGCAAATTACAATTTGCTCCATCCACCAACGGCAAGCAGGAATAGAAACGCCGTACTTGTACGGAAGGGTCTACACGCTAACCTTATGTCTCACTACAGCTCTGGTGACCTGAACGTGGTGATGCTTGAGAGCGGGAAAGAGCGCCTTTTGGTAGCTTCCTGCTACATGGCATACGACAGAACGGCCCCCCAGAAGAACTCAGGAGCTTGGTAGAAGCCAGCACGAAGGACCAGCAACTGCTCGTGGGTGCAGACGCACACGCGCACCACAGCGTATGGGGGAGCCCCGACCTAAACGACAGAGGTGAGTCCCTCTTGGGGGAGGAACACATCTATGTAGGTCCCACCTCCTTAAACGTGCTAGATCTTACTCTGGTAAGAGGACAAGGTACTTTGGTATCAGAATGGAGAGTCCTTGAGAGACCATCCTTCTCAGATCATAAGTACATACGGTTCCAATACGCATTCGAACACTCTCCAAAAAAATTAGTCTTCAGGAACCCCCGGAATACTAACTGGGGAAAGTTCAAGGAGACTATCGTGACACGGCTCGCGATCTCTCCGGGCATAGTAGAATCCGCGGAAGACATAGAAAAGTCCCTAGAGACCCAATTTAAAGAACTGCTGGATGCGTACCACGCATCATGCCCTATATCGGACACGAGAAAGAGGACCAGGCCACCCTGGTGGAATAAGGACCTTTCGCTCCGACGCAACAAACTTAAAGAATTCTTCAAAATCGCCAAGCAAGCAAAAGATGACATCATCAATGAGGAATACAAAGTCCTACTTAGGGACTACAAGAAGGAAATACGCAAGGAGCAGAGAAACTCATGGAGAAACTTCTGCTCCAATATAGAGACTGCCCCGGAAACAGCTAGACTCCGGAAGTTGCTATCGAAGCAGCCAACCATATAGAGTCAGCTCAAACGCGACGACGGACAGTGGACTGAGGGCAGCGAAGAGGCCCTAACAGCACTAATGCACGCGCATTTCCCAGGATGCACTGAGGTATGCAAATAAGCACCAAGACCTAGCAACTGGAGTGGAGCATCTCCCAAAAGATTTAAAGCACCGACTGCAATATGCCCTGTTCCTATCTCAGTAGATGGATTGTTATTCAGTCGAATACATATGTATGTACATATATGCAACACATTTCACTGCTGCCACTGATTTGAATTGTAAACAAATATGAAATGTATGCTGAAACATTAAGAAATGTATTATAACATATAACATTCTTATTATTATCATTAACCCAATAGCGAATATGCCCATATTGTTAGGGTACCTAGCGCGAAAAGTAGCAAAAGACCAAATATTCTTGCTGGGCCGAAATGAAACGATCGCACACATGCACCCGTGTACGTGAATGCATGAACACGCATACATGTAAAGGCCTGACGCTAACAGCTGACAGCTAACATGGGACGGGTCACTAACAGCTAAAATCTAACAGACGGTCTGTCGCTAACAGCAAACAGTTAACATGGGACCGTACGCTAAGAAATTTTTGTGTCCATTTTCGTTGTATGAAATGACCAGTCTATATGTTGTATGGTTAGTGGTATTACCGACAACTCCAAATGTCGGAAATGTGATGAATACGAGGCAATCGAAACCTTGGAGCATCTTATTTGCAAATGTCCGGCCCTAACGAGGGCAAGAATGAGAAACCTAGGCTCTCCAGTTCTGGCATCGCTAGAAGATGCCTCCAGTAGAAAGCCAGGCGAACTCCTTGCCTTTGCGAAAAACACCTTGATATTCAAGGATCTCGAAACCCGCATAAATAGTCTCTAGGTCCATCCAGGAGTTTCCCCGGATAGCTATGGGCCATGTTGGCCTATGTGTGGCCCCTCGAGGGCCGGTATAACCTAACCTAACCTGTTTGTCATGTCAATGTTTCTGTTTAGAGTAAGCCAACATACGTTTTTTTCGTTTTTGAGTTTTTGAAGGGTTTCGTCCCACCATGGAACAATTTTCTTTGTTTTAAATTTATGTGATTGGGGAATGGTTTCATTGGCTGCTTGAATAATTATTTTAGTTATGTTGGCTGTTTCTTTGTTTGTGTTTGAGCTGGGAGATCTTTCGTTAAATAACTTTTCGGAAATCTCTTGAAAAAGGGGCCAATTAGCTTATTTAAGGTTGAATCTGGGTCTTTCAACAGGGCAGGTGATGTTCTGTTCAAACAAGTCGATATGAATGGGATAGTGATCACTACCCGATAGGGAGTTATCTGTGTACCATTTGGAGCTAAGGGAGAGTAAGGGTGATGCGATGGAGAGGTCTATGTGGGTGAAGGTATGATGAGTGGAAAAATGAGTTGGTGATCCGTTGTTAAGTGTTATTAGTGAAGATTGGTTAATAAATTTAAATATTATGTTGCCTCTAGTATTGTTGGTCTGTGAGCCCCAACTTCTATGCCAACTGTTAAAGTCTCCTGTAATTAAGAAGGGTGGTTGGTTGTATACTGTTGTAGATGTTTCTGAGGTTTTGTATTTTAAAGGATTTGCTGGGTAGTATGTACGATAAGATAATGGTGAATTTGATTTTGGAGTGAATTTTTACTGCTATTGTGTCAAAGTCGAGTGCATTAGTCGGTACGATTTGTTGTTGTATTGAGTTGTGGATTAGAAGTGCTAACCCTCCATATCCGTTTATAGCCGTATTTTCGTGGTAAAAGGTATAGTTAATTAGGATAGGAATGTTTTGAGTGGAGTGTAGGTGGGTTTCTTGTAATGATATTATTTTTGGGTTGTGGTTTTTGATAAGGATTTGCAACTGGCTATAATTGTTAATATACTCGTTTAAGTTCCATTAGCATTGTTAAAATTAAGTTTTTGTTGATAGTGCTATATGGTATTTTCTTGTATGTAGGCTAAGGTTAAATGCTGTCGCTATCGCTGTTAAGTAAATGGTTAGTGATTTTGTTGTTTTTCTTGGGTTTTTGTTCATTTTTTTCCTTAGATTTAAGTGGCTTGGCGAGTGTGTTTTGTTTGTTTGAGTAAATTTTGAGTTTGAGTTCTTCTGATAGGGATGAGCTGAGTGTTGATGTTGATTTTGATGTTGAGGCTAATGCGGGTGTGGTGTCCATGGGTACTTTGAGATCGTCGTATGATGTTGCTTTTCTTTGTTGTGGTTGGGCAGGTGTTTTATTTTTGGATAGTTTGACTGCAGTTTGGTGATCGGAGGAGCGAGAAGGTGGTTTTGTGGGTATTGTTGCATTTTTGGTTGGTTGTTCTGCTAATGTGGTAGAGTATAGTGCTGGTTGGTGTATGTGTTGGGTGTAGTATATTTTGACGGCTGTTTTGTGGTCCACTTTTTCTAGGGTTTTGATTGATGTCAACTCTTTTTGCTTTATGAATGCTGGGCATGCTTTGTCCATTGGGCTGTGTTTGTTGGTTGGGAGGTCGTATTTGCAGTTTATGCAGAACTTATCGTTGGAACATGTTTTGTCATTGGATGTATGTATGATTAACCAATCATTAATGTCTCTGGGAGTGTCAGTGATGCGAAGGTTATAATGATGAGTCCAGTTTCTTTTAGTTCGGTTTTATCCATTTTCTTAATTTTTCGTATTTCTGTGACTTTTTGCGATTTGAGTTCTTGCAGTATAATTTCTTCATTGATGTTTCTTAAATCATTTGAGTAAATTACTCCCTTTGAGAAGTTAAGAGTACTATGCTCACTAACTGATACGGGAAAGTCATGGAAGATGCTTAGCTTTATGAGTTTAATGGCTTGGAGTGTGTCTTTGGTCTTGATTAGTAGACCGCCAATTATTGTTTTTTTGCACGATTCCACTACACCATTGCATGTATAGGCGATTACTTTTTTGATTAGGAAGGGGCATACATTTTCAAATGTTTTATTGTCTGTTCTGATTATGTTGATGAATTTGGGGCCGGTGTCGCTAGACTTGAAAAGTCTATTTATATCGGGAGGCATTGTCGTTGTTGTAGGGCAAGTGCCCTGCTGAGGTTTTTGTAACTGTTCAGTAGTTGTTTTCTTATTGCTTTTTTTTACGAAGTTTGTTTTGTGCACTTGTACACTTGTTTTTGTTGTAGTTATTGTTTTTAACTGATAAGAGTTGGGTCTGGGGATCGCTCGCTAGTCACACGTCTTTACTCCTCAAAGCTTAGAGTGAAACTGAAATTTGGAAATTATTACAACCTAATGAATAGAAACAGAAAGCTTGAATTGTAAAAATTGATGTTTAGGAAAAGATGAATTGAAAAAAAAATATGATGAAAATAATTATAACAAAAAATTATAGTATGGAATTAACAATGAAGTTCTAAGTGTTATTTTAGACATGGGGGTATAAATTAAATAAAAAGAAGGGACATAAACATTTGGGTTTCTCCAGTTAGGGAGAGACATGGTTGGGAGGGTTAAGAGAACATGTGGCATCTACCATCAACGCCACCCCCTTACAGAGGTACACCTCTGCTGCTGCTTCATTGGGCGACAATCGTTTTGCGTTATTTTCTGCTGAAACAGAGATTATGTATCAAAACATGTCGGATGCTGATTCTGACATAGACTGTTCATCTTCCCCGGATGAATTTAGACTATTTGCAAGATCCAGTAAGCCCCCAGCTATTTGTGTGCCGAATGTTAGTGATCCGCTAACCTTTGAACGGGCCCTTAATCTGGCTATTGGTTCCGCCAACTATTACATCGCACCTCTTAGTTTGGTGTCACCAGAATTTACACGGCCAATTCTGACGCTTTCAGTAAAACTGTAACGGAACTTACAACCCAAAACTGTCTATTTTGGCATCACCAACTTAGAGAGGACAAGCCCTACAGAGTGGTTGTTAAGGGAATCCATGCTAATGTTCCTCAGATTGAGAAAGCTTTTAGTGATCTTGGATTTGAAGTCCTTAACATATATTGTCCGAAAAAGCCAGACTGGAAGAATATTAAAGTTAACGAGGATGATAATGAAGCTACTATTAATTTCAAGACAAGGCAAAATCTGTTTTTTATCAACCTCATGCAAGTTCCGAACGTTTCAAAGTCTCTAAAAATTACAAAGCTGGGTTGTTACAGAGTTACAGTTGAGCGTGCTGCTCGTAGAAAAGAGTTGCTACAGTGCCAAAGATGTCAATTATTTGGACACTCTAAGAACTATTGCGTCCAGGACCCTATTTGTGGTAAATGTAGTGGTCCTCAGACTGTACGACTGGAAAAAATGAAGATCCTTAAACCAAGACCCTGGCTTCCGTTGACTAGTTCTCCTGTCTCAAGAAAACAGGCTCATAGTTCTCCACGCGAATTTATTTAAGCTGAGGCGTTAAGAACTAATATTTCTTATGTAGCTATTGCTCGTCCCAACACGATTCATAGCAGGGCAACAACAATCGGATCAATGCCTTAACAACAAATTCTTGGCGCTAGACGACTCCATTCGTGCCATTAATAACAGAATGGATCAACTTTTCAAGCTTGTACAAGAAACCGTAGAAGCCAACAAAGCATTTAGAGAACTTGTTCAGGTTCTTATTTCACGTATTCCAAAATTACCTCATCAAGCTTAAAAATCGGATTGTGGAATGCTCGGGGATTAATAAGGGGTTCTGAGGAGCTTCGAATATTCATGATATAGACATAATGCTAGACACTGAAACACTTATGCGTGTGGAAAGGCGCATTTTCCTTCCTGGATATCTTACATATTTTGCCATTCACCCCAGTGGCAACAGCAGAGGTGGCTCTGCAATCATCATTAAATATAGTTTAAGTCATAGTCCTCTGCATCCTACCTCAAGCAATGATAGACAGATATCGAGAGTGCTTCTGCACACTTCTGATGGAACAGTCACTGTAGCTGCTATATATCTACCACCAGCAGAAAGTTGGACGCAATCTAGCTTTGTATCCATGTTCGCCACTTTGGGTAATAAATTTATTTCTGGTGGCGATTTTAATGCCAAGCATGCATGGTGGGGCAACTCAAGAGCCTGTACTAGAGGTAAACGCTTGCAAGAAGTCATCGCAAATGGGCATTACCAGGTTCTGGCTACGGGCGAACCTATGTTCTACTCCTACAATTCCCTATTAATACCAATGGATTGGCTTCAGACTTCACGTACGTACTCTGCATGAGCTCTTATCGGATCATGTACCTATCTTGGCAGAACTGTACTCCACGCCTTTGTGGAAACCTCATCGCCCACGACTACTTGCCCATAATGCTAACATCAACATTTTTAAATCCCATCTCGAAAAGCTAAGCGATGTAAATTTAGAAATTCTGGAGGAGGTGGATATTGATAATGCAATCAGACTTTTTATGACGAAATTATCTGAGGCTGCTCAGCTTGCTGCCCCCAGAAATCGACATGGAGTAGTGGGCCCTAGACCTCCCCAACTCCCTTCCAGAATTTTAGCGCTGCTTAGACTTAAACGAAGAGTTCGTAGTGAATATGCTAGAACAGGAGATCCTCGTATCCACAGAAGACTTGCAAATCGCTTGCATAAGGTTCTTGCTCGTAGAAAACAGACTCAAATAGACAACTTTTTGGAAGACCTGGGTCCTGATATGAGTGCAAATTACTCGCTTTGGCGTGTCACGAAACGGTTCAAAACTCAGTCCTCTCCAAAGTCAGCAATCAGAAATCAGGCTGGGGGCTGGTGTCGCACTAGCTTAGAAAAAGCTGAAGTGTTTGCTGAAAACCTTGAGCAGCGTTTTAAGCCCTTTAATTATGTCCCTGATAGTTTGTGTCTTCAAGTGAAAGAGTATTTGGAGTCGCCGTTTCAAATGTGCCTTCCTGCTAGCGCTGTCTCTTTGGAAGAAGTGAAAGTTCTGGTAGCCAAGTTGTTTCCCAAAAAAACCCCCGGTGAGGATCTTCTTGACAATAGAACCATTCGTTTATTACCTGATGAAGCCCTGCAATTCCTTGTGTCTGTTTTCAACGGCGTTTTAGAAGTTGGATTCTTTCCGAAAGTTTGGAAATCGGCATAATCATGGTTCTCAAGCCTGGAAAACCGCCGTGAGACGTGGATTCATACAGGCCTATCAGCCTTCTCCCATCTCTGGGTAAAATTATGGAGAGGCTGGTTCTAAACAGGCTGCTCTCTTGCGAGGAAGTTTCCAGTGCGATCCCAAAATTTCAATTTAGTTTCCGCCTGCAGCACGGTACTCCTGAGAAACTGCATAGAGTAGTTAGCTTTGCCTTAGAAGCCTTGGAGAAGAAGGAGTATGCTGTAGCTGCTTGCCTGGACATTCAACAGGCATTTGACAGAGTCTGGCACCCTGGGCTGCTGTACAAAGCGAAGCGAATCTTCCCGCCTCAACTGTACCTGGTTGTGAAAAGTTTTCTACATGCAAAAAGTTTCTACACACATTCCACGTATCGGCTGATGGGTATAAATCAAGTGTCAAGACAATTGAAGCTGGAGTTCCGCAAGGAAGAATTCTAGGACCTACTCTCTATTCGGTCTTTGCTTCGGACATGCCAGTCACTCACCAGTCATTGAAGTTGCGGAAGAAGATATATCAATAGCTACATACGCTGATGACACTGCCGTGCTAGCAAAAAGTAAAATTATTTTGGCTGCTACCTTTGGTTTGCAGGAGTATCTGGATGCCTTTCAGGAATGGGCTGTGAACTGGAATGTGCACATCAATGCGGACAAATGTGCGAATGTGACTTTCACCAACCGTGCAGCTAGCTGTCCTGGGGTCAGTCTTAATGGTAGAGTCATTGGCCACCATAGAGCCTATAAATACCTTGGCGTTACCTTGGACCGCAAAATTACATTCGGCAGGCATGTTGCGAATATTCAGCATGCTTTTGAGGCTAAGGTTTCCCGGATGGTATGGCTCCTTGCACCCCACAACAAACTCTCGCTTTCCTCCAAGGTCATGATATAAGAGTCAATTTTAGCCCCCTCCCATTTTTATGGCCTTCAAGTTTATGGAATTGCTGCAAGATGTCATTTGAACAAGATTCGGATTTTTCAAGCAAAAACGTTATGGAGGATTTCTGGGGCTCCTTGGTACATGCGGACTAGAAACATTGAACGAGACCTGAAGGTGCCCAAACATGACGCCAAACTTTACACTATTTCAACTAAGTACATGGAAAAACTAAACAATCACCCCAATAGTCTGGCTAGAAGATTAGCCATCTCTGAACACAAAACACGAGTCCGAAGAAGACTTAAACGTCACCACCCTCAAGACTTCCCAGACAGGGTCTTGACATAACATATCAGACAAAACATGAAAATCATTTCAAATTATGTAAACATAACTTTTTTTGTATTTGAATTTGATTTTATTTGCCTTCCTAACGCTACAAGTTTAAAAAACTTATAAATTGGTGGCTAGTCACAAAGAGTTATACTAAATTCGGTCATAAAGCTTAAATCTAAACAAAGTTTGTGCATAAGCTATTCCTAATCTAACAAATTAAATTTTATTATTATTATTATTATTTCATTTAACTTAATTCTAATCATAATCCTATGTCGCTGTAATTTAATTAATTAACGTGGCCATTTTTAAATTGTGAGAGTACCTTTTCTTTAAACCGCGTAGCATTGCTAATATTTTTAATGTTGTTGGGTAGCTGATTTCATAATCTAATAGCATTAATAAAAAATTGTCTTTCGGATGTCAGCGGTTCTTTCTTATATATTAATTTGTGAAGAAATGCCAATATTCTCATCTTTATCCATCCACTAAGTTCTACGTCAAAAATTTTGTAGGCATAACCCGACACATTTTCCATTCGTGGCAAATTAAATATATATCTTGCGATGCTATTATATACTATCTTTATCTTATTTTGGCTAGTCGAATCACAATTCGAAAAAACTTCCAAACCATAGAATAAACACGGAACCTAACAAGTTTGTGCTACTAACATACGAACATTTATAGGCAGGCAACCCTTAGTCACAGACAATGCTCTCAGCATTCCAAATATTTTTCCTACTGCCTTTGCAATGTGATCGTTCCATGAAAGAGTCCTGTTGAATATAAATCCAAGATTTACGGCTTTTTCGACATACTCTAATGGACTGTTATTAATTTGAAGAGGTTCTATATTGTCTAGCTTGATTTTTCTTTTGCTTATTACGAGGCACTTAGATTTGGTTGGGTTAATGCCTAGTCCATTTTTGATTGCCCATTCATTTACTCGTGCAAGTTCACGGTTACATACATCAATACATTCACTTATTCTATTTAAAGGTCGACTCACATACATTTGGACATCATTGGCATACAGAT